CAATGTGGGATTCGTAACAAACTGAGTATGATTATTCTTAAAAATCGATCGATATGTCCGGGCCCTGCCTAAGGAAGAGGAGGTTGGCTAAGTAGCAGGAGAAGATTGACTCCTCGACATTGTGATAGACGAATCAAAAAAGCCAAGGAAGAAATTATCAGCTCATTAATCCGGCCAAAGAGATAAATTTTTAATTAGCTGGAGTAACTAAAGGAGAGCACATGGAAATGTTGATCAAACGGTATGGCTACAAGCGATCGTACTCCTTAGAGAGAGTCTCGACAAAAGCCAATTGCCGAGCTACGGCGAATACTCAACCCCGGAGATATATCAAGGGAACCTTGGCAGTAATTGAAGGTGAAATGGGAAACGTACTAGACTCTTAAGGCTACCAAGTAATCCCAGTAGCTCGACAATCCGCCAAAATGTTTGCATTCTTCTTGCTTACATCTCATATGGGTGCATGTTTACTTATCCCAGGAGATAATATGCATTTCGATTGCTTGCATCCCCTCGGGGTCGTATGCATTTTGTTTACTTGCATATTTATTTATCTTTTTGGGATCAATTGTATTATGTTTGCTTGTTCCTTTGAGATTCTTGTTTAGTTATCCGAGAGTAGTTTACATTTTGCTTGTTTACATCCCATCGGAATTCTTCTTTACTAATGGATCCTTCCGGATCGTTTGCATTTTGCTTGCTTGCTTGCTTGCATCCCTTCATAAATTTTCCTTGCTTAGTATGACAACTTAGTAGTTCACGACTAGACAAACGATAAGAGGAGGGGAACAAAATTAGCGTATATTAACTCATGTCCATCGATAAAAAAATTATTATTAAAATAATGAAATAAATGGAAAAAGAAGGAAAGAGATTGAAGACAGTCTCTCAAAGGAGAAATTGTACTCGAGTATGAATGGGAGTTGCCTCCATGAGAGCAGCTGCAATTTTCCAACTGTCCGGACCAAGTGCTCTCATATGTAAAATAGATTCTCAATTTTTTCAATCGGAAAGCTCAGTCATTTAAGATGACTTGTCGATTATATTTAATCCGAAAAGGCGAAATTCTATCCCACTATCCATCCATAACTGTAAATTCAATCCCATTTAAGTGCCGTAATTTAAACTATAATCAACTAAAATATCAAATGCCGTATTGTTTTCTTTAAAGTAGAGCTAAGATAATGAAAATGACGTATGAGGCATTATAAGCACAATCTTACAT